GTGGAGAATGGGCACTGGTGACAGTACGGGTGTTTCATTGTATGACTGAGACTTAGACCCAAAAGCTTTGTAACTGCTCTCACGGTGATTCAATAAATAAAATTATAAAAAATGGAAAAAAAAAGAAATACTTTCAAATCAGAATTTGCTGCGATGAAACATAAATTATGCTTTATATTCAACTTGTCAGTCTGGGTTTTGCCTTGCACGCAGCCAACATGGCCGACCTGAGTTGGATTCCTCCGCCCCTCTCGGAGAGCCCGGCAAGCTACCGAGAGTATCTCGCCCACACGGCAGAGCCTGGCAAGCCACCCGTGATGTATTCGATATGCCAAACTCAGTAACAACAAAATCTCCAATGGAGACGTTACTGGGCCCACTCGATCAAATAGATGAACAACGGGAGGGCCTTTACCTTTACCTTTTTTTTAGTCTGGGTTTTAATTACAAAGTAAAATAAAACCTAGAGGCAAAGATCAATTCCTGCGTTATTCCTGTAAAACAACATTAACATGAAAATCAGTGCAAGGATTCAGTTGAAAGTCTATTCAACCCTCAGAAAGCTAAAGGATTTGTCCTTGGGGCCCACTCATATACATATAAAGGATTTATCAGAATCTTCAGCTTCTTGTTGATCTGCTCTGCTAGATAGCAGAGTTTCTGAGAATCTTTAGGAAGTACCTCTTAGGCCCTTCAGATTAGAAATAAAAAGATTTGAAGAATCTTAAAAATATTTTCCCTCTATTGCCCTGAGTATAAGACCAAAATAGAAAGAATGACTTTAGGAGTCTGTCTTAGTCTGGCATAAATGCATATAAAGATGAAATTTTTTGGCAGAAATTTAAGAAAATTGGATAAAAGGGGATAGAGAAAATTCAACATGGAAACAAAGACCTCTTTGCTAGTACTCTCCTATGAGCAGGACACAGATTGGGAAAACTCGTTAGTCATAAAAATGTCCCACTTCTTATGGAAAATTAGGGATGGCACAGAAGTCAAGTTGTGGAGATTCATTCGAAGGACAGAAGTGGGATTCTTGGCAGAGGGAAAGGAATTGGTGACATGCCTGTTAGATTTCAGAATCACTATAAATTAGTAATTGTTGTTTCCTATTTTAAATGTTGTTTAGAGTGGAGATTCCTATTGTGGCATGCCCTTTTGTCATGAGTATATATTGGGTCTCTTTTGGTAAACTTTTGGGTAATGTTTTATAATTTATTTCACAAGTACTCTTAAGAAGCAATAGGGGGGCTAGAGCGATAGCATAGTGAGTAGGGCGTTTGCCTTGCACACGGCCAACCTAGGTTCAATTCCCAGCATCCCATATGGTCCCCCGAGCACCGTCAGGAGTGATTCTAGAGTGCAGAGCCAGGAGAAACCCCTGAGCATAGCCGGGTGTAACCCAAAAAGAAAAAAAAAAAGAAGCAATGGGAGTTCATTCTCCTGTGATACAAACTGATGTGACAATGGAACGAGAATTTATAGTATTCATGAATGGGTGTATTTTGAGTGTGTTGTCTTAAAATCAGAGGTGGGAATCTAGAAGGCCTTTCCAAATTCTACCCCTCTCTGTTATATGGATGTTGCTCCTACTATTGAGTGTTGCAGTTCCTCTCACCTTTTGTTGAATACAATCAAACGACTGAAAACTGGTGAAGTTGTTTTGGAGTCCTCAAGTTCAGCACTTAAGAGCTTTATAACTGTGGTATTCTTCCATAGGGAAGAATCTATTGAGCAACAGGAAGAAATGAAGATAGTATAGTGCCATCAGGTGTCAACTTTTTTGGTCTTTGCACAGCTATTAAAATCTGGCTCTTCTGAACTCTCAACTTGACTGAGGACTAAACACAGGAAGAGTGTCAAGATTTGGACATTACACCCTGATGTGTAATGAGGCTGCAGTTCACTAATAACAACGCAGTTTCACTTCTCAAAGTCTTACCTTATCCTACTTCTTTTTTTTTCTCTTAGGTGTTAAGATAAACGTGTGTGTGAGTGCCTGTTAAACTCAAAATTCAACCATACAAAGCATGCACCCTGAGCTATATACCAGGCTCACTAATAAATATCTCACACTGAAAACACTTCTTACAATCTTTTGTGACCCTGACCTGTGACAAGTATGTTATACTTCCTGCCCCTCTGAATCCAGCAGCCCAGACATGAAAACTCAATTTATGTACACATAAAACAAATCTCTCATTTTTGGCAGCTCTAGAACTTCGGAATAGTTTTTTAAACTGATCTGAAAGCTGGAGCAATAGTTCAGAGTAGGAAACTTGCCTTGCATGGGGTTAACCTGGGTTCAATCCCCTGCACCCCATATGGTCCTCTGAGCCTCTCTAGCAGTGATCCCTGAGCACAGAACCAGGAGTGAGCCATGAACACAGCTGAGTGTAGCCCCAAAGCAAAATAAATAAAACTTATTCAAATAGGTATCTTTGATAGTCAATGAACTTCTTTAAGAAGAAGCGCAGAAATATTCTTGCATAGGGTTTACCAAAAGAGGTCATAATGCATCCACAGGGAAAGAGGTCACTGAAAAGATCCAGGGGGTGGCAGTAGCTTCAGGTGCAATTGGGAGGCAATTAAAAAAATAAATAAATAAAGACCCGTGGAAGCATAGCACTGTAGCACTGTAGCTAGCACTGTCCTCGGTTGTTCATCGATTTGCTCAAGTGGGCACCAGTAACATCTCCATTGTGAGACTTGTTGTTACTGTTTATGGCGTATGGAATACGCCACGGGAAGCTTGACAGGCTCCGCCGTGGGGGCGAGATACTCTAGGTAGCTTGTCGGGCTCTCGGAGTGAGGTGGAGGAATCAAACCCGGTTGGCCACGTGCAGGGCAAACACCCTACCCACTGTGCTTACGCTCCAGCCCATGAAAGCATAATGAAACAAAATTTTTTAAAACTGTTGGTAGTACATGTTTCATGTGTTTTGTAGCATACAGTAAAAGTTTTAGTAATCGTTTATCAAATAAATGCACAAAATGCAACTTATATCAGGTTCCACAATAATTCTTAGCAACGAAATGCTGGCAAGTGAGTTTGTAGTACATTGTTGGGAAGTACTTCACACTGGGCAGAAATATGTTCATGTAGTGATTTTTGTGCAGTATGATACCATAACTAGGTGACATACTGAAATCAAATTTAGAGTTATGAATTATTATTATATATAATAATAATGCGACAATATTTAAATTTTTAATTCATATTTGGTAGCTCCAATTATGTGGATCATGTACAAGGCAAATTATAATATTTTTGTTTAAAAAACCCCGAAATTTACATGAGTTTTTTTTGTTTCATTTGTTTGTTTTTGGGAATACACCATGAGGTACTCTGGCCTTACTACTGGCTAGACATTCAGGGCTCATTCCTGGTGGGACTTGGGAGACTATATATGGTGCCAGGGGTTAAACCTGCCTTGTTCACATGAAAAGCATATGCCCTACCTGCTGTACTATCTTTCTGGACTGAATTTTTGCAATTTTTCTATATATCTACTGTATGTTTGTTTTTATTTTTGTTTTGGGACAACACTCAGAAATCCATAGAGCTTACCCTGGATCTGCACTTAGAAATCTCTGTTGGCTTTGTTGGGTGACGATATGGAATACCAGCGATCAAACTGGGTCAGCAATGTGCAAAGCAAACGCCCTACCTGCTATAGCATAGCTCTGGGCCCTGTACAGTTATTTTTTCTTCTCTTCTTCCTCTTTTTTTTTTTTCAACACCCAGCTGTGCTCAAAGATTTCTCCTGACTCAGGGCACAGGGATCAATCCTGACAGGGGTCTAAGGACCTTATGGTTTCCAGAGATGTGACCCAGTTTGGCTGCATGCAAGGCAAATGCCCTGAGGCCCACTATACTATCTCTCCAACTCCTCTATTGCGTGTTCCTGTAACTTCTAGTGCTTATTACAAATAAAAGTAGCAGGCTTGTTTCAGTACAGTGCTTTTTGAAGTGTGCAGTCAATATATTTATCACATTTTATTGTAGTATTAATAAAAATTGAAATAAAATTATAAAAACATACAAGATTTTCCCCTAAGCCTTGACAGTTGTGATCCCTGAACACAGATCCAGGAGTAAGTCCTGAGCAACACCAGGTGTGTCCTGCAAACAGTTTATTAGTTTCATTAGTGTGTTCGTCTTTTGTTGTCCTAGGCAAAATCCACAGTATTCCTGCTGTTGTTGTGTACTGTTCTTATAACACATCTATTGCCAAAAAATTGGTTCTGGCATGAGTAGTTGCACATCTTTAATTACACAAATTGTTGTTACTTCTTAAAAATTATATTCTCCTCTATGATAAACACATATATTTAATTTTTCAAAGACAATATCATGTCAGAACTTCAGAAAAAATTCAGAAAAGATAGTATTGAATATTTGAACTATGCTTCTAATCATTCACCTACAAATTATACATTACTGATGTGCCTGATTTACCAAAGAATTTTACCAAATAAAGCTATGAAGCCTTCAAGACTGCAAGAACATTTGACAAAAGGTGTGCCTCATACAATTTTTATTAATAATAAATAAAAAGAAAAAACTGAAAATGTCTTCCAAAGCAACATGATTATTTTTCCTTATCAAGGAGAAATGAGAGGTCCTGGTGTTTCATATCTTTATTAGGTATTTGGTGTTGTTAGTGTATATTACCATTGTAATGGATGTGTAGTAGTATCTCATTGTTGTTATAATTTCCATTTCCTTAATGACACATGATAAAGGGGCACTTTTAATATGGATATTTACCATATGTATAACTTTTAGTGAGTTTGGTGAGAGTGTCAGATCTTTTCCTCACTTTTTTGAATTGGTTACTTATTTTCTTATTGCTGAGTTTGAAGCATTATTTGTATATTTTGTGTTCTCATCTTTTTTTCAGTTAGAAAAAACAGATCAAGAGAGAAAAATTCACAGAGATAAGACCACAAGGCAAAGATCAGAGAATGCGTCTGCTTAAGAGGTAAGCCTGGCAATAGTTACCTGACAGGGGAGATACATTATTGTAAAGGTGGTTTTCCCAGGGAGGGACTATTTATTGCACTCCGATGAACTGACCCCTATCATTTCCCCAAATGTGGGAAATTGGACTGCCTAATTTATGGTAGTAGGGGACTGTATCTCTACTTTTTCCTTGCTTATTTACATATTAAGATAAAGTTTAAAAGAAAAGAGATAAACCTGACAAACAGTCTTAATGGAGAAAAATAGCTTATCTAATAAATCAGTTTTTAAATGTTAGATTATATGACCTTTATCTTTTATTTTAAATTACAAAGAAGGAAGCAGGGACCCAAATGCTAGGTTGGCAAGCATGAGGCAGAGAATTTGATATCCTGTACAGCTCTATGAGCACCCAGTGGTATGTTGTAAGCACCAAAACTGAAGCGTGTAACACCCAGATATGCACTGCTATTTATTTTTCATGCACCAAAAACAAGTGTGTGCTGCCTGGTCAATATCACAATCACATGTGTGAACACAACAACCAACTATAAGCAACCTCCAGTCATCCCAAAAATAACAACAAAAAGAGAGGAAACGAAGAATAAAAATTTTCATAGATTAAAACAATAAAACTGGTGGAATAAAAAGATTAAACTTACTTTTGAAAAACTTCCTAGTCATTGACTTTACTATCCAATTGTTTCTCAAATTTAAACTTATTTAGGGGCCATCATATGGACACAGATATTTATGTGACTTTTGTACTCTTACTAATTGGCATAACACAAACATCATGTAAATATACAAACCTCATTTGAAAGTCAATTACAGAATGTGTAGACAAACAGGTTTTCAATCAAAACTTAATCAACTTATTCTTAAATATTAACATGAAAGTCACTTTTTAATTTATATATCTACTGATCAAGTAAACCTTAATTTACCTTTTGGTTTCAAAATAATTTGTCTTCGTCTAGTAATAGGAAATATTTTGTAGACCAAATAGTAAAAATTAATTTATGGAATATGGTTTTACTGTTTAAGCTTATTTCAACTTGAGAAATTATATTTTTAACTAATCAGATCTAAAGTTGTATAGATTTTTATTAAACTCCATGTCGCCTTTGAATTTTAGAAAAAGCAGTATGGAAAAGTGTCATAGAAAATAAAACAACTATATTAGGTACTTTCCAAGAAAGAAAGAAAGAAAGAAAGAAAGAAAGAAAGAGAACAGCCAGTCTCAGTCTTGACTCACACCTTAGAACAGATATCCAAGGCCAATTTTACTGTCTCTTTATTAAGCCCAATGTGTATTTACTCACATGTCCTGACTGCATAATGCAAAGCTAATGATGCATGAGATACAAGCATGTGTTTCTCATATATGCCCAACTTTAGTGCTACCTAAATTATGCTACTCATACCTGATACCTTATGCAAAATCTTGCCCCTTAGTTAACTTCTTAAAAAATTCTAGCCCCCAAATCCATTCCACCACCAACTTTCACTTGAGAGATCTTCTTCCACTCTTCAGCTGTGTGCTATTGCTGTAATAATCTTTTTGCTATTATCCTCACTTTGTTGTATTGAATTCTTTTCTCCAGACTAAGAAAAGAACTTCAACCCTGATGGAGGTCATTAACTTCTTTTCTTTGTTTATAAAATGCAAGAATGTACTCCTATTTGAGACCAACAACTTCCCAAAATTTGGGGGACAGGAATTCAGTTTCAGACCATGCAGATCAGTGGAACTCAGGTATCATTTTACTACTGCCTCAGTAGGGCTAGCAAGGATTTGTCTCACACCATAAAGAATCTCACATAAGGTTTCTAAATATCCCCTTTTCCCTATTCTTCTGACCAATCTTGAAATTACATCAGTATCATCTGATGAGATTAAGTCCATTCTCCTATTTCTTTCTGGAACTGAAAGAGTTAGATCTCACCCCATCTAGGTTTGGAAGCTCTACTGATTTTAGGATAGTAGGAATTAAGTCTAATGTTGATGAGCTCAAAGGGATTTGGGTGTGGCCTGATGTCACTTTGTGCAATTGGTTAGGTAATCCTCCCCTCAAAGCGAACTCACCCAGGGCCTCCCTTACTCCTGTGACCTCCTGTGATACTTAAAAAATATATCAATACATTGCAAAGTACTTACATACTATTATTTGGAAAACTTAAATATTTAAAATGTTTAAGCATTTGTAACATTTTCCTAGGTATGCGTAATTTTGTTTTATATATAACTCTTGAGATAAGATAATCAGCTAATTTGTTATCAAAAAGTATAGTTTGTGAATAAGAGATGGCAATAATGATGACACTCATAATAATAATGAGATCATGGGCATAAACTAACTTGTTCTAAGAAAACATGTGCAAAGGGTTTTAAGTATAACCTTAGTATAAAAATATCTGAGTCAAACATTGCCCAAATTGTTCAAGTTTAAAAAGTACCTGCCATAAACTGGCACAAATATAATAATTTATTATTTATGATAGTAAATTACTGAAATGAATAATTATAAGAGCATTCTTATATGACATTAATGAAGAGTGGAAGGTTAAAAAAAAGAGTTGTTTAGTTTATAAGGAATTTAAAATGTAAATCTTTGAAAGATTTTTTTTCCCCTCAAACATAGCCATAAAAGCAAGTTTCCTAAATAGCTACTGTTAAACTTCATTGGCTTTTGTTAAAGACCACATTTTAAAAATAGTTTCAAAGCAAAAAAAAAAAAATCAAGTTGTCACATGGCAGAAAGTTAAAAAAAAATGCAAAAGTTGAGGGCTAAAACTTTTGTCTAAGACATCCAACATTTATATTTAAAGAAATGAGAAGAATAAATAAGTTTCTTCTAAGCTCATTTTTAAAATAAGTTGAATAAAATTTACCCCCGGTATTTTATTTATAAGCTGAAAGAAGTAAAAAATGCCACTTTCAATAGATAAGGTGTATTTTTTTTGCAAGAAGGAAGGATAAAGAGCAATATCTAAAAGATTTTTGCTTTAACCTTCTGCATTCAAAAATTATGTCTGCTTGATATTCATAAAACATGAGAGGCATTTTCTCTTTTTACAAAAAATAAGACAAAGTGATATTGAATTTCATAATAGATGCACAACAGCTTGGGGATGATAAAATGAGAAAGATATTAATATTTTACAGTGTTCAGGGCTAGAAAGATAATACAGTGGGCAGGGTGCTTGCATGCAGCCAACCAGGTTCAATCCCCAGCAACATTCCTGGGTTCCCCTAGGAATGATCCCTGAGTGCAGATCCAGGAGGGAGTCCTGAGCACAGCTGAGTGGGCTCCAGAAACCAAAACCAACCAACCAAACAAACCAGGATCAAGAGGATATAACTAGAGGCGGGTAAGGGGAATTTGTCAGACAGAAGTGGCTTGGTAGTGGAGCACAACTCTTTTTTTCCTGGGGAAACTGCTTGGGAGGTACTCCTATCCAGGTGCTTAGGAGTTACTCCTAGAGGTACTTGGGGAACCATATGTTGCCAAGGTTAGTACCCAGTCCTCCAGCATATCAGCCACATGCTCCAACCCACTGAGTTATATCTGCTGTCCAGAGACAAGTTTTTTACAGGCGTGCAACTGAAATGCCTTGATAACTGTTGCTAGAAAGCACATCACCCCTGTGGTAAGCTTCTACTGAAGATCAGTTCTCAGTTTCTGTTTTTTAGGCAACTTTGGTGCAGTTTTTTAGATTGATTTTATTTTCCAGATTAATATTCAAACTTCTTTTACTTTTACTATGTGTACATTAATAAACCAAATACATATTTTACATAGTCTAATTATGAATTCTACTTTTCAGAGTTTTCAAAAATGTCATGTTTCAAAAGAACAAAAAGTCATGACTACTGCACTCATTTAATTTGCAAGGTATCATTTCATCTCTGCCCTCACAGATTGTTATCCAGAGATGCAAACACAAGATCATCTTTGATGAAAGAAAACTGAGTCAGTATATTGGGAACCCAAATTGTATCCCAATTGGTCATTACAGAAGTTTCCTTCATGTTCTGCCTTTTATGCCATTAGGTTACTCCACCGTATTTAAATGCTGCCTCCTGTTAAAAGCTTGTCACGATTAATTTAAAATCTCCTTGTCAAATGATTTATTTTGTAACTCAATTAATAAAAAATGCTTCAAATAATTTAATTGTGTACTTAAACAATACATTTAGAAATATTGATCTGCTGTCCTGTCATGGTGCATTGCAAAGAGAAGCAATTTTCTGCTGACTGCAGCTTGCAGCTTGCAGAAGGCACTTGCAATTGAAGCTCTAGGGACTGTAAAACGACCCGTCTGGGATTTTTCGGTGGCACAAGAGGATGAGGACCATCTGGAAGTGGTCAATTTAGGAGTCCCCAACACTTACAACCAGGAAGAGTACTTCAAGGCAAGTTTCACGTTTTCCACCCACTGATCTCACTCTCCAAGGGAATTTGGTTCCTCACCAAAATGTGCACCCCCCACCACCACCTCCCACGCCCCCCCCCCCCCACACACAAATATGCTGTGATGGAAACAAATGCATCTGCGTCCTCCACCCCTGGGTCTTGAAGAACCCAGAGCTAAAAGCCATGGACATCTTCCCTCCCAGGTCAGAACTAACCTCCTGAACATCAACTCCCTACACTGGGCACCCTGCACCTTCCTTCTTCCCGATGTGGGCTGCGCCACCAAGAGCCAGGCAGACAGAAGGAACAGAAAGGCAGTGCCAGCACTCAGAGGGCCTGGGGGCTGGCACTGGTCCTGTGGGTGAGGGGCAGGGTGCAGGGCTGGATGCCGGGATGTTGCCGGCCACAGTTATTTTTCTAGACCCCAACCTGCCTGCAGCCATCAGGAGTCCCTACTCCAGGCCACTGTCCAGGGAACTGCCCAAATTAGCCTCTCTAGGCTGGTCTGCCTTGCTTTCAGGGCACCTCGTGACACCGAGGCTGTGCTGTCTTGGTAGGTCTGTGCCCTACTTCTTCTTTGGGTTATTTTCTTTAGATTCTTTATGAGGCTTCCACTGTTCACTGTCCACGACCTCGGGGCCCGCGCTTGTATGAAACACCCGGTGGGACTGCCCGCTTTGGTGGAATCAGGGCGCCAGGGAGTAGGGGCGACCCTCACCTTTGACTCTGTTCCAGCTGGCAAAGTGTTCTGGGTTCTCATCTGGATGCATT